AAGTGGAATCCAGTGAGGGTATGTTGATCACAGAATACTTGAGGTTTGAAAATATTTTTCCTTATTTTTTTCTACACTATCATTCATTCACATTTCTTCAGGCAACATTTTTGCCTGGCATTTACGCAGGAACAGAATGTGTGGTGTGATGAGGGCAAAGGAGAGTAAAGGCCAAAGCATGGGCCATGCAGAACTGTAGCCTGTAGAGTGTGGAGGAAAAGGCACAGGGGCTGCTGTATTTCAGATCCCTTTGGAGCACATAATGTCACTACGGCAATTAGGAGGTACAGAACCTACTCAGTGGCAGCAGTACTACAAAGAAGGTTTACCAGCTGCAGCAGTTGGCCCATAGCCCTCTGGCCTGCCTGAGGAAAGGCACTACCGAATTAGACTTAGTCCGGCCAAGATCTGTGGGACAAAGAATAATTTGTATAGGAAGTAATGATCTTAAAATGCCATATTAAAAAGTTGGAATTCTGCCAAGCAGCAGAGCAGCAGATTGGGAGCTTTTCAACAGATCAGTTTCCTGTTGCAAAAGGAATTGCCCTGCACATGTGTTCTTTTTCCTCCTAGTCTGTTTTTTCAGAGAGATGCTATCAACCTTGCAAAAGGACAGCAAAGCCTAACATACCTATAGTCAGACAGTTCTTCTTTTACAAGGCTCACTACAGTGTCTACTAGGCACGCTTCTATGGCTGAAAAGCACCTGCCTTTCCAGTACTGTTTGTTCTTGTTCCCTCCCTCCCTCTAGGATTCTCAGCTGGAAACTCTTAACCTAAAATCACATGTTCTCTATTCAAAGATCTGAAAAGAGACCCAGTAAAAATGCTTAATCACCTGGTCCCTGTAGTAGATTTCAAAACTGAAGATTTGGCATCTAGATGACATAAATAGCATACGGCAACATGTAAGTGACTCAGAATGACAATACAGGAAATTGGTACCCTTCTACCCAGACAGTAAGAAATGCTGAGGATAGTGAGATGTCTGAAATCCGTCCTGTCCAGAGCTGTTACATTTAATTCCAGACTGCAGTAAGGCATTCCTCTCCACTCATGCGCCACAGTCCGGAATCCTAGCTTAAGGGTAGGCTAAATCTAGATTTATTCCTCTCCTTCAAGACTGCAGTGCAATGGCTTCCGTATAACTGCCTTGAGGTTAATGCAATGACAAGGGGAGGACAGGCTTGGGTTTATCTTCGGCCTCACATTCTGCTTAAAATCATGTTTCCTATTTTCCAGGAGAATTCCCTAAGCAACAGGCTATCAATAGGAGGTAAATAAGGCTTCAAAAACAATGGAAAAAGAGAAATGTAACAAAAAAAGAGGGAATTAGGAACTTATGAACTAGTCAGCCAACTGCAGGTCTCAGAATAATATTGGAATAAATAAACAATTTGAAGTTCTCTAGGGGATAGCCTTAGAGATTTTTAAGGGATTCCCTATAAATCACACTTAACCAATTTAATCTCTTTCTAAAACAAGAACTAGGCCTTGTGGGTAGGAGAAAAGTAGAAAGATCATATATATTAACTTGTGTAAAGCTTCTGACGCTCTCATATGACTTTGTTTCAAGTAATTGAAAAAAAAAAAAAACTTGATGAAACTAAAGTAAGGCAGATGCAAAACCACCTGGAAAGCTATTTTAAGAAAATTAAAATTAAGAGTTTATTGTCCAAACGGAGGGGTGATTGAGTTCAGAACAAAAGCAAATAACCTACATCTGATACAAGTAAATACTGTAATGAGTAGGTTAGAATACCAAATAAAAGAGTATGTTTATTGCAGTGATATGTTACATTATTTTGGGGGAGTCTATAAGCACATTGAATGGCAGAAGTAGAATTCAAAATGCTTGAGCAAACTGGAGAAAAGATCAATGCAATTAAAAAAGACAGCAAGTTCAAAGTATTATCCTACTTAGGGATTACCAAAAGTACAACTGCAAGATGACTGGGCAAATTTCTTCAAAAAAATCTGGGAGTCACGGTGGTTCACAGGTCAAAGATGAATCAACACTATCTTACTCCTGTAGAAAAAAAGTCATACTGGGATGCATAAATAAAAGCGTTGCAGATAAGGCAATATGAAGTAGAATTTCTACTCCAGTAGACACTGACAGATCCTCAACTGGAGTACTGCATCCTGTTTTGGCCAGCTAATGTCAAGAAAGGAGTTGGAACAACTGGAGCAGGACAAGAGGCAAAATGTATTCTCAGGAACAAGAAGACTGAAGGAACTAGGTTTGTTTAGTTTCAGAAGAATCCTTTGATAGTTAGTCCATTAGTTGCTCTACAAAAGGACCAAATCTGTGTTTGAAGTGCTGTAGAGCATTAGGTTACTTTCACTGTCCTCCCTGCAAGTGATAAAACCCAAACTGAAAAGATTTGCTTTTAGGAGGGCTGTCAGCCTATCTAAGACTGAAAGGAAATTGTTACTACAGTCTCCTCTTTTTTTGTCTTATTTACAATGTCTGGCCTGGTTCTGTAAATAATCCCACCATTAGCAATCTAAAATCAGTACAAAATGTACAGAAGAACACAGGACTGAAACAGCCACCCCAGGCCTTGAAAAGGTAAATACAAGTGAAAAGATATCTGGCAAAAAAATCAGATGTAACCTGGAAGAAATAATTAAAAATAACTTCAGTTTTAGCCTTGGTAAGTTAGGGGAGTGTTTAGTGAAAACTAAGGTTGCTGGGCAGCAAGCCTCCATTTTTAACCAAACAGATGACTGACTACTGCCAACAGAGAGGAGGACATCAGCAAAGTCTTACCTATACCGTTGAGTCCAGCAGAAATAAACTTCGACAAAGAGCCTTT